GAGGACTGGACTAATGAAGATCTCCTCCTGTGAGCTCCGTGAGGCATCTGCACTATTCCTTCTGCACTCATTACACTGAGCAGAACACAGACCAGAAAAAAGCATTCTTTGCTGCCTATAAATCATGAGTGACACTAAGGTATTGCCATTAGCAGCAGAAAAATGCCTTCCTCCCCCGACCTCATCCAGCCCCGTGTACATACAACACTTTGGCAAAGGGTGCTGGGGTGCCTGGATGGAAAATTAAATAGAGGTTGTGTTGTCTGAAGATAAATTGGTACCTCCCTTGGTGTGAGTGACTTTGTCTTTTTCTGGTTTGTCTTTAACTTACAAAACACTGAGGCTAGAGATAAGGATGTGCTTTAAAACCCTAGCCTTTGTCCCCTCCCAGGCCCTCCTGACCAAATCCCATCTCTGAAATGAGCTCAGACAGAAGATAAATGTTCTGGCAGTAATATGCAATATTGTTTTTGGCACTCAAAGAATCTCAAGCTAGATAAGGGAAAACTGAAAGGAATACTGAAAGCAATACAAAGCTCTGTTTTTTTCAAATGTAAAGGGACCAAATTCTGCTTGCTCATATGAACACAGAATCCTTTCTATTTTTCTGGATTATTGCAGTAATTCCTGATGTTCATCAGAGTGGCTGGTTCTGAGGCCTTTTTTAAAATCCAGCACATTCAGAGACCCTGGTGAAATGACACAATAACAGAGCTGAAAGACAAAGGCATGCAAAGACAGGGCCAACTCCCCAGATCCTGCCCAAGGGCTGATTTGGTTTCTGTGTTAGCTGTAACAGTAATAAGATTAACACCTGATATCAAGGGAAAGGCTGAGCCATCTCTGACCTCCTTCAGCAGAACAGAACGGAGCTCCAGCCCCTCTGGCATATTAGCATATGTTAGAGGAACGGCTTCTTTCCTGGCCTAGCATGTATTTCCCTGCAGAGCCTTTGTGCAGAGCAGTGTTTCTGCCGATACATCTGTGGGTATTTTGAATAAAACATGTGCCATTTGACACTGTTTGCCTGGGCTGCCATGGAAAATGGGAGAGGGCACCTGTTACTGCAGGGCAGAGAGCCACGAGGGGCTGGATGAAGCGCAGGCAAACACAGGAGCGTGTCACGTCTTTGATTCTGACTGAGCCCTGAACAAAGGATCCAGCTCACCCTGCGCTGATCTGAGTGCCAGCTGCATTTATTGCCTTAAGACAAGCAAAACTAAGAAGCCCAAACCTTTGCTCTCTGTTACCTTGTTACAGACGAGTACGCTTTGGAAATCAAATGGGGAGGGCTTTTCAGAACAAATTAAGTGGTTTTGAGGCAACGTTTCTAGTGCTCAGAGAGGCTCCTGCGTCCAAAGCATAGCTGTGCTCTGCAAATTACCACGTGTTTTGTCAAGCCTGGGAGTTTGACAAGAGACTCTTGGAGTCTTGAGAGCTCTCAGAGCAGCCTGTTGTAGGGAAAAACAGTGATTGGAGTTGCTGGGTTTAAATTACGAAGTTGCCACATCTCAGCAGTTGTTGTATTTTGAGTGGCAGGTGGGGAATGGCTGCATGGCATAGCTAGAGGCATCCCCACCTGTAGTGTCTGCTCAAAGTCAATAATTTGCTAGGGGTCATTTGGCAATTAAGAACTGTTCGGGGGTACAGTTCATAATACAAGGTTTGTATGATATGACCAGAAGCAGTGTGCTAGCATAAGAAAGGGAGCTCAGAATCTCCCTCCTAAAAGCTGTGAAATGTCTTCAGGTCAGTTCAGGGAAGCAGCCTTTTGAGAAGGATGTCAGGAAGAATCAGGAAGAGCCCTTAGAGGAAATTCATTTGGCCACCAGGAACAAAACTGTCTTCCAGACCAGCTTTAATGAAACACTTGTTCATTTTCATTTCTGTCACTGTGTTTCTACGTGTAAGGAAATAACTCATCCCTGTCAGCTGCCGTGGCAGTGACAGAAGTTGATCACCCCACCTCAGTAACACCAGGGCCTGCTCTGCAGAGAGGAGCCCAGCCTGGTGGGCATTCCCTGATGCACCATTGGCAAGGAGCAGGCAGTGGGAAGGTAACTCCAAGATTATCTGTAACTACTGAAGGGTCTGCCCTTGACACCCATAGAACAGGGTCATACCCTGTCCTGAGCTCTAAATACTTCAAAAACTTAAAATGCTGCAGGTCTTTGGTTTCATGGAGCTGATCGTGGCAGCAAAGCCATCTTTAGGGGAGTGTTATTATTTGGGGAACCTCCAAAAGATTTCTGTTTCATGGAAACAAACCCATTCCTGTCTTCTATGCAGTCACAACAATCCATATCATACTATTTATTTGCTCTGATCACCCTTTGGGATGAAGCTTTGCTTCCTTGCTCTCCACCTGCTCTTGTTCTGTTTGGCAGACACTAGGGCCACTTTCCCTCAATAACCATCGTGGTTTTACACACAACTGAGCGCTGACTCCCTTGCCAGCCGTGGGTGTGGAAGGTTGTAACGTTTTCCAAAGGCAAGGACAAAACAGCAAGCTCACAGGCACATCTGTCAGTGAAGCTGCACAAGTGTATTAAACAGAGCAAACAAGAACTTTGCTGTTACACTTCAAGTAAATCGTTTCTCCTTCTCAGTTTGCTCCAGCATAAAAATCCCTCTGGCCTGTAAATGCCACTGCCAGTATTTATTTGTAAAGAGCTTGGATCTGTTTATTTATTTATCCATATTTAGTTTAAAAGTCTGGGCTCAAAATTAAACACTCATTCATAATGTCATTATCTGCCTTGCTCTGGAGTCAGATACCGTGTGTGGTGTCACAGGACAAAACCTTTGGCAAGGGCTCTAGAAGAGCAATTTAGCTCCTCATCCATCTTGGCTGGCAGCATGATTGGCTTCCAAGCTTGCACTGCTAAATTTGTTATTTTACTCCGACATTATTGAGTGTTAAATCATTTTCTGAAGTGTTTATTGGTAATAGTGGAATTCTTTCCACCCATTTAAGCTGCTTATGAGACACAAACATTTCCTTGTATCTTGGAGCTTGATGGAAAGGTGGGGAAAGTTCCTCAGGAGGACAGATTGTAGAAATGACCAGCTCGTTAAGTAGGGACAGAATTTACCAGTGCTGTGGAGGAGAATATCCTCTTCCTGCCATCAGGATGAAACAGCAAACTCCCACTGCCACTCCACAGCACTCACATGAGGAAGGTTAACTTGTGTCTTGGTTCTTCCATCAGGAAGCAGATCATCCTTTTACTGGAACATCAAGGACTTCCTGACAGGATCTTCCTAGATCCTGAAGCTCCCTGAGAAGAAAGACAGGCTGTGATCTGCAGGATCAGGTGCTGAGGAGGTCGTTAGTAATCAGGGTACCCATGCTTCCAAGTGTGGAGTGGGGTCTGCAGCCCCTGCCTGGCATTGATTTCTTTCAGGAAGGAACCAGAAACCACTTTCTTATACCTATTTAGGAAAATAGAGCAGAGGATCAGAGAGCAGAAATAAACAGAGAGATTAAAATCTAGTGTGGCAGTTGGAAGCTGAGCTGGAGAACAAGGGCCAGAGGCAGGTCAAGCTGGGGAGGAGGCAGGAGAGCCAGATTTTCAAATAAGCCCTTTGGCAACTGATCTCTTGAGGACACAAATGTGACAGCCCAGCAGCCTGATCCAGGCTGATGTACTCAGTACTGCAGGTCCTCTTACCTCTTCTCCTTGCTCCAGTGAAGACCCACAAATCAAAGTTTTTCTTTTCTTTTTATTTTTAATGAGGAGGTCTGTTGAGTCTCTTTCCTGCATCTGGGAGTTACTTTCCAATCTGATGAACACTGACTTTTAGAGATGACACCAATGACTGGCTGCCGAGATCACAGTAGCAATCAAGGCTCCTTTGATGGCAGAGCTAAAAATATGCTCCCCAGCTGACACAGCCTTCAGGAGGAGAACATATAGTTTGGTTTGAAAGAAAACATCTTCCTTTGTCTCCATGTCGTCTTCTGCCAGAGGACACCACATCTGTGACAACCATGCGAGCAGGTTACATCTGTCTTCTGAACTGCAGCGCCCAAGTACAGACCCATAAACCTCCAGCCTCAGCCAGAGGAAAGCTGTAAACCCTCTGAGTGCCTTGGAGAATGATGTTGGTGGTGGCTTTGCCTCCTTGGTCATGTTGGCACCTATCAAGTTATTGCATGGCAGGAGCCACTTTTTAGAGTCCAGAGCAGATTGCCTTTGCCAGTCCCTCAGGTTCAGTTTCAGTCCTCTTGATCAGCTGCCCCAGCTCTTCCCTTTCCTATCTGCTTCTCTGCCTGCTCTCCTCCTTGCTGTATCCAGGGCTCTGGCTCACAAGCCCTGGCTAATGAGATATTCCCAAAACCCTGCTTCGGCATTTGTGAAGGAGACAGTGGTAAGTAGTGCCACTGCCACCTCCTGGGCTTTCTGAGGACTGGAGCTCATCCCGTGGGTTGCAAATGCAGATTCATGCCAACGCTGGGCAAGAGATCATGGATTGCCCAGCTTCAACCCGTGCCAGCCCTCCCCCTTCCCAGGCCAGCAGAGTGATGGCAATCACCAGCTGGAGTTTGCAGGTCTCCCTCCCCCTGGAGGCATCAGCTAAAGATGGATCATTAAGGCTTTTGGGTAGGAGAGGTACAGATGAACAATCGCACACAATAACAATTCCACATTTACAATGTGTAATGTGTCAGGGGGTGAAAGGTTGAGCAACCCACTTTGGCAAGTGGAAGTAGCGAAAAGGGTGTATTTTTCTGGCTAAATGAAAGCCTTCTCTGCGGGTTATTTTTTTCATGCCTCTGTGTGCGTAACTTGAACGCACAGAAAGGAAAAATTCATTTGTTTGGTCAGACAGAAATACACCAGATTTATTGTTCTGAGAGGTACAGGGGGTATTTCTATGTGGCTGTGGTAGCTACAGTTGGCAGCACAATATTCTGTCAAAAAAAAAGGCATTCACCCAAGAATGTCTCTGGGCTCAGTCCCGGAGCCTCAGTCCCAGAGGTGGATGTCCCATCCCTAAACCTCTGTGGGCAGTGATCCATTGCCAGGAGTCTGTTTGATGCTCCCATTTAGGGTATTGGCTCTGAAGATGTACGACCTCCCTCTAACTGAGCCTTCAGTGTGGAAGCTTTCTGGCTTGTCCTGGCAACGGAAGAACATAAGGAAGCCATTCCGGTAGTTCTTGTTCATCCATCCGTAGAGCAGGGGGTTGACAAATGTAGAGCACATGGCCCCAACATGGAAGACAGTGTACAGGAGTTTGTACTCGTGGAAGATAAGAACCAGATCAAGGTCAATGGCAAGCTGGAATATGTGGAAGGGGAGCCAACAGACTGCGAATACCACAACTACCATCACTAGCATTTTGGTGGTCTTCCTCCTCCGGCACTGGTTTTCGTTCCTAGAAGTGGGACTGACGTGGTTTTTCAGCTTGAACCAGATCCTGGTGTAGGCATAACAAATAACTGCAAGAGGAAGAACGTACTGCAGGAGGAGCATGGACAGACTGTAGATGGTGGCATCTCTGTTGTTACCAGAGGGCCATTTTTCTGAGCAGACGGCCATCTTCAGGTTGATGGATGGGATTTCCTCGTAGCGGTACTCTCTGAAGATGGCCAGGGGGCCTGCCAGGACAGCTGCTGCCAGCCACATGACAGCTATGATGGTGAAGCTGAGCCTCTTGGAAATCCTGCTGTCCAGGTGGAAAACGATACACCGGTACCTATCCAGGGCAATCACAGTTAGGGTGAGGGTGGACACGTGGACACTCAGAGCTTGAGCATAAGGGACCAGGTGACAAAGAACAGCTCCAAACTTCCACTCGTCCAGCAGGGTGTACACCAGGGTGAAGGGCAGACAGAGTGTGTCCACCATCAGGTCTGCCAGGGCCAGGTTAGCTATGAAGAAGTTGGTGACAGTCCTCATGGTCTTGTACTTGACTATGATGTAGATGACCAGGGAGTTGCCGATGAACCCCAGCAGAATGATGAGGGAGTAGGCAGCAATCAGGACAACCTGGACCCCCAGGATCTTGGTGCTGTCCATCATAACACTGCGGGACCCGGAGAGATCCTGGGTAGGAGTGACAAAGTCCTTGGCATGCCAGCCCTCTGGCAGCTTCTCATCTAATGCCATCTTCTCCAAGGTGAAAGTGCTGTTGGCTCCCTCAAATGGTCCCATGCCTGGCCTGAGACTTTTCATCAGGAGGAGAAGGAGGTCTGGAACACAGACACAGCAGAAGTGAGAGCACAGGAGACAGCAGAGCATCTGCAAGAACTGAGACTCAACGGGCATGTCCCACATGGCATTTTGGGCTAAACAGCAGCAGCAGTGGCATCCTCCCTCCTTCTCCTTCACACTGAACTGTCCCTCAGTTCTCTTACATTTCCTCTTAGAGTTTATGATCAGCTGCATGCCAGTTCCCCAAGGAAAAGTCAGCAAAAATGCAACTTTTCACTCAGGTTTCTGAGATTCTGTTTGTTTGAATTGGACAGGGGAAAAAACCCTCAACCAGCCAGAGCCAAACTGGAAGGTCCTGAAAAAATTGCCTGCATGGAGCCCCTTTGCACAGTGCCTTTCCTCTTCTTCAGGCCAGCCTTTGCAAAAGAGGGAAGTCTCTTCAAACAAGCCAAACATTTGGAACCTCTCGGGGCTGACAGAAAAACTTAACTATAGTGTCACTCATCTTTGATGAGATTTACTTGCCAACAAAAATTCTCGGAGTTCTAACTCCTTAAGAACTAGCGAAGGAGAAAAACAACAAGACACTCTCAAATTCAAGGTGTTCTTCTCCATCTCCCCATAACAATTTATTTCCGGACTGTGCACCAGTTTTTTTCAGTCTCTTATTTCTCACCTCTCAAGGTGAAAATATCTTTTCCCTTGTCTCTGTGTGAGTCTCTGCCACTGCTCCTGATAGTGATGCTGCCACCCAATCAACCCAGTACTGCCTGCTCTCCTGATAATATGGGTTGCATAGCTAACACCATTTTATCAGCCTTCCTCTGTGACCAAATGTGTCACATATTCATTCCCTGACCCTCATTATCAGGCTCTCAAGGTCCTGTGAACCTAGTAGACATACCAGTTTTCTTTTTCCTTCCCCTGCCAGTCTCAAGGTTCCTGAGCACCAGGCAATTATTCCCTTCCTTGCTGACCTTGAAGGTCGCAGGCACCCAGCCAGGCAGGTGGTGTTGATGTCCCCATCACAGAACAGGGAAGTGTGAGAGCACACAGAGCACAGTTACAAGGCCTAAGTAGGGAACTACTGGACAGTGAGACCCTGTGGCCAAGGACACCTCCACTGTCCTCTGCTTCCTTCGGGGATTCAGTGAGTGACTCATATTCTTTTATAGGATTTTTGGGTCTAGATTGATACAGCAAGCCATGTACTAGGATTTGGCCCAATCTGAAGAGGGTCCAGGTGATTATAAATTATAAACTGTATTATAAATTATGTATTACTTAGGTGATTAGAAATCCTAAGTTAAGTTGTTTATAAATTCTGTATTTTGCTACTTATAGACTGTACTACGCTGATTCTGCTTGTAGAAATCCCATGCTGCTCCACTCATGAATTCTGGGCTATATTAATCCTAATAGCCTGATAAGGAAATAAAAGCTTTAGTTGTAACCACAATTTAGTGCCATCACCACTGTGTACCCAGGCATCTGCTGGCTTTGCAGAGGGGGAGCTTCTGCAGGGACATGCACGTGCAGGGCACAAGCCACTGAAGCTGTGAAGAAGCCTCCAGTGGAGCTGCTGCTGAGCATCCAGGCACAGACAGGCCCGAGAGCCAGAGCCCCAGCATCCATCAGCCTCCTGGTGCTCAAAAACGCCTGCATGAGATGGCTGTGGGAGCAGGAGCCCGAGGAGCCAGAACTGACTCAGCCTGGGACCCCTGGCTGGCGTTTGGTGCCACTGGAACAGCAGAGTGTTGTCACGGCTGGGTTTCCATCCAATCCAAACTCAGCAGGAGAAAAGCCAGCTTTGTTGCTGGCTCCTCCTCAGCCTCTGTGGCTCAGAACTGCTGCTGGGATATGTGGAGAGGGGTGGAAACGGCCCCTCACATATCCTCTGTCCCCAGCACTGTGAGTGGGGCCCCCATTCCCACTGCAGGCTTGAGTAAAAGTGAGCAAAAGTCATCACTCTGCCCAAACAGGGAGGTGTGCAGAGCATCGTGTGTTTGCAGAGAGGGGAGAAAATGCCCTTCCACTAAGGGAGGGGGGCAAAGAGCTTTAATGAAGTGGGAATTAAAGACAAACTGCTCAATACCTTCTCAGCATCCCTGAGGAAGAGCTGGTCTGGGTTTGTACCAGGAGGGACAGGAGCACTGCTGACTGGGTGCCAGTGGCCTTCCCGCAAGTCTTGTGCCCTGCAAGCCAAAGTTTTAAGGACAGCCTGTCCTTAGGAAGGGAGATCACTTTCCATGCAGAACACCTGCATTTCAGCCTGTTACTTAAACAAATAACCTAAAAAAATGGTGTTGAGGTACTGAAGGTGACAGCAATTACATTGCAATCAAAAATAAATAGCTGCTTGTTCTGTCATTGCTCCTCAGAGCATGGGTTGTGATTTCCCCTCAGGACCTGCTTCCAGGAATCTGCCCAGCCAGCTGCAAAGCTGAGACCCTGCAGAGGCCTAGAAGAAGAGTTACCTGCAGTAAAACCACGCCTGCTTGCACCCTTTCTCCTGCCCCCCTCAGTGTCTGATTGCTTGCCTAACATCTCACTCTGCAGACCAATTTATGACCAATTTATGCCAGTGGTTCCTCTAAATGAGGTTGTTGGGCTCAGATACCAGGAAAGTGAAGACCACTAGGAAAGTGGGGGTGGAAAGGGTGGATGTTCTGGGGTGAGGGTTTGCTTAAAGGGTGATCTCAGACCTCCAGAACATCACTGCAACAGCCCTGGAAAGGTAACCCCAAAGACCAAAGAGAGGTCCCGACTTCTAAGAAGGGAGAGAGAAGTTCAGAGCCATGCCCTGCAGTGGGTGCAGTGGAAAGGGGAGCCAGGGAGCAGGCAGGGCCCTGGGAAGGTGGCTCAGCCACAGCCTTTTCTCCAGAGCCTATCCCCCAGCAGCATCAGCCCTCAGCCACCTGTGCTGCAGCTGGGGCAGAGCAAACCCCACTGCCAGGAGAGCAAGGTCAGGGAAGGAAACAGAGCAAGTGCTGAGCACACTTTCAGTGGCTGTGCTTTCCCTGCTTGCTCTCTGTCTGGGTTTTAAACCTTCCAGATTGCCCAGCATCACTTTATCACTTGTTATCCCCTTTTCTGTGGCTTGCCCATCCCATTTGTCTTCAGTACCCAAGTCCTGGCACAACACCAGTGGACACTCCCTTCCCTTTTTCCCCATCTCACTCACCACTGCCAGTTCCCATACTCACATCTCAGCCTATTTCCTTTCACTGGAGACTGGCAGCTACCCACCATCTGAGAGGAGCCAGGAACATCATGATTATTGGAGCTGTTTCGCTTCCTAACAAAATGGCCTTAATGGAGTTACTATTTGATTTCGTTTGTTTTGTTTTTTTTTCCAAAGGGGAACTATTACAAATCAATTAAGGCATTTTAATTAGGAGACAAAATGGTCATAATAAATGTTCCCACTCCAGGGGCTGCCTGGAGGTCACTGGGATGCTGCTAGGAGTGGACTGAGGTCTGTTCCAGCAAGTAATGGAAGTGCTGGCATATGTGTAGGCTGCTGTCAGGCACACACTCCCCTACCTAACAGGCCTGCCAGGCTAGATGGAAAAATCCTTGGAGCTGAGAGCCAACTGCTTTTGGGACAACAAAGCAGCAGGACAGACCAGGAGGAGGCAGAAATACTACCCTAAGCCCTTTCCTCTGTGCTGAGCTGCTGTGAAGGGATGCAGAAACAGGGCGCTGCCTGTATCAGGATAACCAAAATCCTCACCCTCTGCTCCAGCTGAGGTTCAGGCTGAGACAGGGCTGGGGCCCAGGGGTGGCTCCCAGTGAGGCAGAGAGCTGTTCCCTGTGCCAGCAGCTTCAGCATTTGGGAAGGGGGGAAGCACAGAGGAGCCATTCACTCCACACTCTGCTGTCAACGACTGAGAGGAACAGAGACCAGTGTGACAGGTCCAAAATCCATTCCTACAGGGGGCCTGGAGTAGGTGCCCCTGGGAGACTCACACACCTCTGCTTCCTGGGGATGCCCCCTGTCCCTGCTGCAGCCCCAGGCACACAGCCAGCCTGGTGCAGGTCTGTCAAGGGCACATCCAGGCCTGGAAGAGCCACCTGCAAAGCCTGGCAGGGTTCAGAAAGCAGGGCTGGAGGGGTGGGCAGAGGGCTGGAGAAAACAGAGCTTGTTAATTAGAATTTCTCATTTTGTCCAAAGAGCAAGACTGATCGGTTTGATTTGAAAGGAGGTAGTGGAGGAACTTGGGCCAGCCTCTGCTGGCTGGCTAATGACACCCTACAGCCTCCTTCTACAGCAGAGCTGGAGTGCGAGGGCTGATGGATAGATACTTCCATCGTTTGGCTCAGTGGTTTCTTCCATGCTGTGTCCTTCCTCCAAAGCAGCTCATCTCCATGAATCCCCTTCATCTCCACCATCCCAGTCAGGAGCACTGACTGATCTCATCCCCAGCCCCATATTCAAACAGGTGTCTGTGGCAAGGAGGTCTGAGACCACCCCTCACCACCAGAACCTGGTGGTCACCCTAGGACAAGCCACCTTCTACCACCTTCACATTCCCCCACAGCACTTGAGAGACAGCAAATTTCAGCCCTGCACCCCACAGCACTTAGGGGAGGAGAATAAAATAAACCGAGATATGGAGGTTAACCAGCCTGCCAGAGACCACACAGCACATCCACAGCAGGGCTGGGAGCAGAGCCCAAGTTTTCTAACTCCAGCCTCCTGCATTCACCACCAGAGAAGACTCTGCATCTCTCAGCATAAAACCTGAACACAGATTTCAGGAACTGCGTGAAAGTGGAAAATGTGACTGAGGAAGGGGAGCAGGTTTCACCTTCTCTGTGTAATGGGCAAGTTTCAGGACAAACAGCAGCTCTGGGATGATTTCCTGTAGCCAAAGAGCACATAGAAATTGTCCCAGGTCCTTCCGTCTCCAGGAAAGGGGTGATTGTCCTGTTATGACACTATGGCATAAGGGAAGACCCTCTGATCTACCCGTCATCTGCTCCAGCTTTGTAAATTATCTATCCAGCTCAGGCCCTCTGGCATAGAAATCTCCTGGCATTTGACACTGATTGCCACCCAGAACTGCTCCTGGAGGACCCCAGCACAGAACTGGCACTGGGAGACAAAGTGAGGAGGAGAAGCACCAGGGATTTCTTTTGGTTCCTCACGCTAAATATTTTCGCATCCCTGCCTAGGCTAGAGCCATGGAAGACTCTGAAGGAGAAGAGGCAAGGACCCAGCTCAGGACAGGATGAAAAAGAAGGTGGTGAGAAGAGATCTGTTTGGCAGGGATGTATGCTTCCTCATGGGAATTTATCCTACAGAAAGCAGGGGGGAACAGTGCAGGGCCCTCTGCCCTGTGGGACATGCCACGGGAGCAGAGCAAGGCTGGATGGGAGACAAGGCTCAGGGGGTGACACTGTGGTGGAGACACACTGGTTGTTTGGGATGCAGAAAGGCAGAGACACCTTGGTGGATGGATCCTGGTTAACCTGGGAAACCCATTACCTCCTGAAATTTGGATGAAACAAGGGAGCAGAAGGAAATAACATCTCATTAACATGGAGAAAACCCATTATCCTGCTTTGGGACAGACCAGAAACTCTGTAGGTGAAACGCAGCTGCAACGGGACTATAAGAGGATTTCTCTATTCAACGATTAACATGCAATGAGTGCAAAGAGAAAGCACACATCGATTTTCCTCCTGCAATCCCCTATCTCCCTTTGCATCTCCCTCTCTGAGGGCACTGATCTGTGGCAGCACCGAGTGCCAGCAGTGTGTGCAGTCCCAGCATGGAGCAGCTACGGGAGGTTTGTATCAAGCCACGAGGAGGCAAATTGCAGGAGAGATCAGGATTTCTCAGACAGCCGTGCACTCAGCCCCACACCTGCAGTGCACTGCTCTGGAGCTGTACGTGCCCGGGTTCTGCAGCCCCCCTGGAACAACCTGCTCTCCTGACTGTTCTCACTCAGCATCCTGCTTCTCAGGTTCCCTGCTTCTGCTCTCGGACCTTTCGAAGCTCTCCTGCCAGCATTTCTTGTTCACTTTCTCTATTCCAGCTCTCAGGGCTGTCAGTCCCCAAACCCAGTTTCCCAAAGATGCTTGGAGCTTTTTTTTCCTGAGCCATGTGGCATGGCCAAGTCCTGGCCCCATCTCAGCCCTGCTGCTCAGGTGAGCCCTCCCCGACCTACCTGCAAAGGCCAGAGTGTCCTCCTTCAGGAACTGAGCTGCTCAGCAGCAGTCACTGCCTCATCGCTGGCCAGGACGGAGCACTTGGTCCTTTCCGCTCTCTGGAAGTCAACCTGTGGCAAAGGGGTGAAAGGCACTTTTCTGCAACTGTCCTTAGAGAAGCGTGGAAGTCAGGAGAGGATCTGGGTTGCCAGAGGGTGCTTCATGGCCTGGGGACAGCTTTGGAACCCCACGGTGAGCATCTGGAGAGCCCCCTCTCGCAGGGTGACTGACAGCCCCTGTCTCACAAAGCTGGATGCTGCGTTCGCTCCTGAATGAGAGAAAGGCAGAGAGCGTGTGTTTAACAAACAGGAATGGAAAGGGGGAGGGAGCCTGCTGCTGCTGTTTATACAGTGTTCAGCCACTGAGGGGCTTCTTGCATCGAGCAGAGAGAAGCTTTTCCACCACATCCAGTTTCCTCTCCAGGGAGAAGTGGTGGGGGCTGGAGATCTGCAGGCTCCTTGTCCATGCCACTGACCTGGGCAAGTGTTCATCTGCCCTCACTCCATAGCTGTCCCATCTTCTCAGACTTTAAACTCATTGGGACTGGCATGGTCATGCCCAGAGATGAATCTCCCCTGGAGGAAGAGGTCTGCAGGTCCTGCAGCTCAGCAGAGCCTTCACAGACTTCTCTCCATACTCCTCTGCCTCAGTGTTTCGACAGTACCATGCACAGAGTGATCTGCTGCCATGGGACAGGCCTTCAGGTACTCCTGAGATGCACATAAAAGTAATGCTGGAAAGTTTTAGCCACTTGGCAATGGCTTGGTCTGCTCCAGAGCCAGATTCAGTGTAGACATGGAGCTTGAGTGAATTTCAATTTTAGGGTGCTGTCCACACACCTGGAGCAAGAAAGAGGGAGAGGCACAAAAGCAGCATGCTCATGTCCAAATCTGCAAAATCCAAGCTCACTGGAGCCCAGGAAAGCACCCTAAGGGCAGCACGTGGAAGCAGATAAGCACAGCTTCCTACCTGTCCAAAGGTTTTGCCTTCAAAGAGAAGTCATGTGTGTTCCCAGCATAGGATTTCCACCTCAGGCAACGTGTGAGTTTGCAGCTCACCTGGGCTAGGAAATGTTCCCAAAGGCTGGGGAGAAGGACACCTCTCCTCGGCTTCAAGTATCTACAGTTAGAATTTTATCAGAGAAGTTTTGCTCTTTACCCCCACAGTGGACTTTGTGAGAACAGAAGCAGGGAGGGTTTTCAACTGACGTTTTATGCCACAGAAGTCACGATACACCAGGAAAAAGAAAACACTCCAATGGCTCAGCAGAAAAAGGTGAACAAGAACGTTCCTGAAATCACATAGAAGGTGACACTTGAACCCAAGACTTGGACAAGGTGGGGGGCTCATGAGCCCCATCCTCCCCCCTGCTCTCTCTGTCTCCCCTTCAGAAAGAAAAGGACTCTGCACGAAATCCACCAGCTGTGCTATTTGGATGTTTGTGGGAGTTCTGTGTCTTCTGCCCTTTTGTTTTCCCCGAGGCTGTTGATTTAGCTGAGAGTGGAGGGAAGCAGGACAAGACAAAGCTGCTTGGAAGAAGCCGTTGTTGTCTCCCAGAGGTCTGCAGAGAGAGGCAAAGAGCAGCTAACGGGAAGTGAGTGGTACATGCTATTCCCCCCATTCCTGGTAAATGGATACTCCTCCTCTCCAGGGTCCTCAACAGTGGATGGTTGATTTCTGCTCAAGTGAGATTTGTTTTCCTCCTTCTCTTCCTTTGTAAGACGTTTTTTGCCCATTCCCCACATTCCTTTGCTACAGCTCCCCACTCTTCTCTTCCCAGGGCTGGAATAAGATGCCTGAGGAGAAGGCAGTGATTGACAGGAGAGAAATTTGTGAAGCTGTGAACCTTCATCAGGACCATGGGGTGAATTCCAGTCATTTTTGGCACGTGGTGTTTGCTGGATGACAGCAAATGCAAACTCTTAAATCACAGATTAGTCAGTGCGAGTCCCCAAGACATCCTCTCCCACGGTCTCAGCGGTCCAGTGGAGGGATTAGCACCAAAACTTGCTGTGCTCCAAAACATCAGTTCACCTTTTCCACCAGCGCAGTGAGGTACAGTCGAGCCCTCAGCAAGTCTGGGCTGTCACCCCAACTGGCAGCCACCAAGCCGGGGTTTGTCCCCACTCCCTCCACGCTCCCCAGCCCTCTCCCCAGAGCCAGGCTCTTCTCACGGCACAGCAGACAGGGGCTGCCTGCCAGCCTGCCTGATCTCACCCAGCTACAGTGTAATTACTGCCAGCAGAGAGAGCAGCACAGCCCTGATGCTGCCTGGCCCTCGGCTTGTCCCCAGGGAAGGGACACCCAGGGCCTGTGGTGCCAGAACCCTCACACTGCTGGTGGGTCGAGAGGAGCAGTCACGGCACAAACTGCAGCAACCTGAACACCGAGGTGCAAAACGACCTCCCCACACGGCTGACATCCCAGAGTGGGTTCAACCAGCAGCTACAACCCGAAGGAGGTGGATGGGGAAATACAAAGCTGGTGCCTTGCATCGTCCTGGGGTGTGGAAGGCTGTGCAGCCCCTTGCAGAGGTGCCATAGCCCACTGAATGCACTGCTGTAACCCCAGAGCCTGGGGGATGTTGCACACATGGGCTGGATACACACAAATGCCTGCACAGGTGCCCCAGGAGTCTCGTGTCCTTTCAAACATGGGATGGTTCAAAGGGTCTTGCAGCTCTAAAGCCTTTCCCAGTGGTTGGGCTTTGATTAGGCAAAAGCTAGTCTGCTCACCCGTGCTTCTGAGAGTACAACAATGAATGTTGTGCTCCAGGGAGCAAAAATGATGTCAAAAGGCTGAGAAACAGGGCAGAGGAAAGGGCTGCCTTTAGGTCCATGATCTGCTCTGCCTCAGTGAGCAGGCAGGTCCTCGGTCTGATCACCTTACAGCTGTAAACCATCCACTGTAGCTCAACTTCTGTCAGAAAAGGAAGGCGGATTATCTGTTCACTCCCTGGGAGCAATCTCTAAGAAAACTGTTACCAAGGCTTCCAGATGCTCTGGTTCATGCTGCTTCATCTGGAACAGCAACGCTGACATACTTTAGAAGCAGCTTTTCATTTTTTAAACATCTGTTTAATTCCACCTGCATATAACCAAAATATTTCCACTTCTCCTTCCTGCGGTGTCAAGCCTGTGTTTTCGTGAGCAGGCTCCAAAGCATCAGCAAGTTGTGGTAACACAAAAGCCCCTTTTCCATTTGAACCCTGGATTTCACGGATGCAGTGGATTTGGGAGTCTGATGTGTTTGGGAGCTAAATTAGCCACAGAGAGACTCAGGGGTGGGAGGGCGGATAGAAAGCTGTCTTCGCCCTCTCTGAATTTAAAAGCAGGTTCATATTTCGTAACAGCTTTTTGTCCCCACGTGAACATTTCTGGAATTAGGGAAGGAGCAGAGAGAGCATCAGGGATAAAGTTTTGCTAAAATACCTGAATTATCTGACACCACAATGCGAGGCGCTGGAGAAGCAGGAGGAGAGATGAACTCTTGAGGGTTGTCCTGGGCCTGCCACAGCTCTGCTCTCCTTCAGGGCAGGCAGAAGTCAGGGATGCTGAGTGTGTCTGCAGGATGAGGGTCAGTGAGCCAGGAAGGAGGAGATCATATGGAAAAAGATTAATAGGTTTTTTGTCCTGCTAAAGAGGACACACATCAGCACACTTCAGCTCCTGCCCCACTGGGATGAAACCCACAGGGCTCATTTGATTAAGTTGATTGATGTTGAGGAGAGTTTACTCCTTCCATCCCCTTCCCAACCCTGCATCTCCCTCTGACACGCAAAATCCCCTTGATCATCCTCACACCAGGGCAGAAGGACTCCAGGCAGCTCAGCAGGGTTCCTCTGGGCAGACATCAGCGCCGCTGAGCCCAGAACTGGCCCCTGGATTTAGCTGCTGTTTCTGCAAGTCACGGCACTCAAAGCTTTGCTAATTTATTAGAGGGTTGTTGCTTGTTGTTTGTGTACCAAGCCAGGTAGAAAACAGCTTCTGCAGAAGAGGATAATTGCAGTCAGATAAGTGCTCCAGAGCCAGGATTGCAAAAATACGATATGTTGTGGACCAGCAGTTGTCTGGGTAAACTAGAAACATGGATGAGTTTTTGGGTCCAAGCCTGTTTCCCCATCTATCACAGATTCCCCATCTGCCTTTGGGCAAATCACTTGATGTGTCTCAATTCTCTGTACATTAAAAAAGTGATAAAAGTGCTTAATTCTGGCAAACTCACCCCTGGATTGCTGGTCTACATGAACTACAAGTGACCTGATGCAGCAGTGGCAGCTGTTTTCCCCGTTTTGCCCTGTGAGATTTCTTTCTAAGTTGCCCATTTCATTTAGGCAGTGTGTTCTGCAATCAGGGTCTTGCTCTCCCAGGCTGGATACTCCTGTTTCATAGTCCCACAATGAAGTTACAAATTTGTGCCCAGTCTGTCACTCCCGAGATGACAAACAGCGCTATAAATGCTGGATTGTGTGATGGGAACAGGCAGAGCTGGATGGGTTGATGGCAGCCTAAACCCTACCAAAGTGTCAGCACTGAAGGTGATGCAAGTGGTTGGAAAATTCAGGGCATGGTGTGTCTCCTGTGGGCTTGGTGCTGCCAAAAGGCACCGCGTTTCCAGGAGCTGAGATCCAGTGCTCAGCACCACCGCAGCAGCAGCAGGATTGTGTTTGCTACTTCACTACCTCACTCCATATTTCCTAGTCCTGTGGGGACCCACATCAGCTGTCAGCAGGGAGTAGTTTGCCTGAGCCATGCTCAGCTCTGAGGTGACAGTCCAGCAGCAGTGTCCCAGCACACCAGCACTGCTCATGGCTCTTCACACCGGGGCAGGAGGGTCAGATCCACTCCTGATACAAACCCAGGGATTTGGCTGGGAATCCATTTGGCTCTGTGTTCCCAAGAGACATGGCTCACAAGCCACTGTCTGACACCAAGAGATAGGCATGACAGCGAGTGCCCCATGGGAGAGAGCAGCACCCCCAGGATACGAGCAGAACACGCACAAACTGAGCAGAGACTTTGTGCTGGAAAGCACAAAGCCTTATAAAGCCAGTGCTCCAGGTTTGTCCTT